TATATATATATTCTATGATTTTCCCGAAAGTCTGGAGAAAGATGCTTACAGACTCTTACGAATAAAAAAGTGTATAGTGCATATGAGATAAAAAAAACTTTACGTGAACTGATGAGAACCCTGAATTGAAATCAAGAAAAAAAATTACAAGTCAAGGGGATATTAGATCCGTTCTTTCAAACCAACGAAAAAAATTATGCGAAAGTTGTGCATAAATTAGAAATTAAATGAACATATGAATCCCGTTCACTTGTAGTTGTGATATATAGTGCTAAAGTTTGATTTAACTCTCGATCGTTCCATACAAACCTTGTACTCGTAACGCTTTCTCTGTTACGGATTAACATGATTTGATTTGAGTGGTTTTTGAACTATTTTCAAACTAAATTATTTAAGATGGTTTGAAAACTTTCAAATCAAACATTTGTTTTACGATACTGTTTGGTTTCAAACTACTTTTTACTTAGCAACATACAAGTACAACAATTTTAAACAAGAATAATGCTATTCAGAATCGTTTATTATCGATAGTTCTACATGTCAATTTCTTATTTGATGCATTAATTTTCGATATTTCTATTGCCTCGAATAACAAGTTAATACAAAGTTCACTTAACGAACATGATTAATGAAATTCAACTATATCAATAAAGTCTAAGCCTCATTTTACTCACTAGTAATCCAAACAGTTCGGATAATATGGTTTGATTCTACTGTTCTACATTCTTCATAATTTCTACTTTTCATAGTTCTGGGACACTACAGTTTCTACGGAATGAATATTTACGTAACATATAAACAATGTGCAGAGAGAAAGGGAGTGAATGATGATGCATAAGTTCCACCTTCCGTAAAACCTTTACTTTGAACAAAATCTACTCAACCAAGTTCTCAAGAATTCATATTCAATTGTTTATCCAATTCTAGTCTTGTCTTAAGCAATCCACTAATCTACCAACCCATCATTAACAATACAAATTAATTTACGAAAGCAATCTAGAAAACCCATTAAAATTCAATAAATTTTCCCTCCATTTAAACGCATTAATCCCAATCTTCACATACACACCACACAAATTAGCATTGGAAAAAAAATGACAGACATTCTCCATTCCCCACCACCAATGGCTTCACCTTCAAGCTCCGTGGATGATAGGTTGCGTTCCCTTATTAACACTCATACGGTAGATTTTTTCAGGAGAAATAATACTACTCAAATACAACAGGATTTAGAAGAACGAGAAGAGGAGGGGGATCAATGGTCTGTTTTGGCTGCTTTGGTGACTGCTTTTAGGAAATCTTTGGTGGGTTGTAAAAGTGCAGCTGAAAATTGTAGTGTTGAAGAATTAATGGAAATTGGGTGGCCTACTAATGTTAGGCATGTTGCCCATGTAACATTTGATAGGTTCAATGGATTTCTTGGACTCCCTGATGAGTTTGAACCTGAAGTTCCCAGAAGGCCTCCCAGTGCTAGGTCAGTTTTTGGTCTTTGAAACTTTAAAATGAAGTTTTCTTTGATACTGAATGTCAATTGGAAAATCGGAAAAAAGAATAGATGATTAGTAGGGAAGGTGAGCATGTATGGGAGTGCTTCTAAGGAGCTCTTTCTCTGGATTTTTGGTTGCTATGAAAACTTTAGAATAGAAGAAAAAACACATGCTGTGGGAGTGCGTCTATCGAGTATCGGGTAGAGAAATATTTGATAGAACAAAGGGAGTTTATAATTCGAAACTTTATTGATGAATTCAATGTAGATGATTTTGCTGAATCACGTAAATCTGTGTGTTATTTCTTCTGTTATCTTTTGCTGCATTTATTAGCACGTAGTAGTGATTTTTCTCAAGAATAATTTTCTCCAATTGGTTGTTAATTTCTCCTTGTTATACAGTTCTGTTCTTTTTTCTTGATGTTTTCGTGATAAAAGTTGTGTAATTAAATGGATGATAAAACATGCTTGATGAAGGAAAATTGTGTTTTCAATTCAAGTACATTTTTTGTATTGACACTTTTAAGAAGCTATAACATCATTGTTTAACGAATAATCTTGTTACTAAGGCACAAAAATCCTTTTGATTTATTATGGAAAATGGCCTAAAGTTTTTCCTCTGAACAAGTTGTGAATGTGAATACAATTTTGTTTTCGTTCTTATCTTCTGCTTGCAACATGTAATGAACTAATTATGAACGAAACAAGGTACCATAAACTCTCTTTGTAAGCGTGTGAAAGATTTCTTCAAAATTGGTTAATTGGGATGTCAGTGTAAAAAAATTCTTACATTCTCCTAAGGTTTCTCTTTCTGTAAGTGGGAGAAATATGGTGTGATCTATCTACTAATCAATGTCAATCGCTCTTTTTGTCTAATGTAAACTATCAGAAATTGAGTAAACAAGAAGCAAA